ATAAAATCTAACTAATTGCTAATAAACTCACTATTAATTTTCTTTTCAAGTACACAAAGTATATATTTTTTGGGAGGTCGAGTTGGCTACGAAATTGTTAGTTTGTTTGACCTAGTTATAGCAATAAGGATAATGTTACCATTTAAAAGTCCTGAAGTGTTCTTTCAAGATCCAAAGTATAAGCATTCTCGTTTTTATGTGTATACACATTGTTTGAAAATTACCTTGAATATCCACCCGTCTTAGTATTTCGCACACGATGTTCATTTTTAAGTTCACAAAACCAATCTAGCAATATTCATTATAGGAGTAGTATTTTAACAAAAGTTAAAAAAGGGAAAAATATATTCCATTGGAAGTGAAATAACCCGAATTTAATGTTCTACCACAGAATATAAAAATCTACTCACTTATTCAACATTTACGAAAACCAAAAATTTAAATTCTAAACTTCAAATAATTCTTAACATTTTGCCTTAAAATCCTGAAATAAATAATAATTTGTTATTAATATTCAGTCAGCTACATTTTCAGTTGCCGCTAAAAGAAAATAATAACTCCAAATTGGAGGTATTATTCCGTTTGTATGATATCCCGTGAAAGCATATAACCTCGTCATATTAGCTTTTAAAATTGCATAGTTTGTGCTGAATTCTGTTGTCAATAATATGAACTTTTTCAAGTTTACAATGAATTTTTGTTTACATCAAAACATATGTCCATGGTACAATTTTGTTTACATCCATACGAAAATTGGGTTATCTGTAAGTCGGTGATGTTTAAGTTAAATAAAGAAAATGTTGTATTTTTTGTATAAAATGTAAAGAAGAAAATGGTTTACGTTAGATTTTGTGTTTTCATAGTATGTGTCATTAGTATTATTAATCTTTCTAAGTTGCCTTGAAGAGATCGCGCACGCAATGAAAATAATAGAGATATGATGAGACATCATGTTATCACCCTTAAAAACTACAATATATCGTAGTACTAATATTGTGAAATTTTGTGAATTTGTTCATTTGTTTGATATCCAATCACGCATTAACTACTGGTCGGATCGGGTTGAAATTTGGTATGAAGATAGCTCACATTCCCGATTAACATATCTAGACATATTCTTATCCCAAAAATCATTTCGGGCTCTGCCCCAATGGCTCCATAGTTTCCCATGTTAACCTTATGAGTATTCATATTTAAAATTAATTAAAAAATAATGTTGTCAGCTTTTTCAACTACACAAGTTGGTTCTACGATATTCAATAGCATTAAAGAGACCACCTCTGTATCTGGTAAGATTAGAAAACGTCAACAAACAGTTTACTTGAATAGACTAGCTCCTCCCCCACACACATCGCTGCTGTAAGCTCCTCCCCCATTTTTTGCCCCTGCTCATTAGGACCTTTGGTCAATCTGTATGTTAGAAAAGACCCTCGAACCGTTGGCCAATCTGTACGCGCGCGTCCTGCTATACCCTCTGGTCAGGTAGTATGCCTCAACTTAACATGAGACAGCCTTTACCGTAACGAGACGATGTTACTTCAGCGGCGTTCGTGGCTTGGGAAGTAGCGTTTTGGATTGGTGTTGAGGAGGTCCCGGGTTCAAAACCAGCCGGGGACATTAACTTTTTGTCCACGATTTTTGCTTAGAATGCGAATACTTCTTAACTGTACATCTTTTGTTAGAATTTGATGCATTTATAATTTTATTTATGAACAGAACTTTTTTTTAATATTGAACCTGATGTGTCTTTTCTAACATACTGTATGTTTACAAAAATACCATATGTTATGTTGTTCGGTACTTATTAAAAGTCCCTAGATTGGTGCTACCCTAACCTTGCCCAACGTTATCTACGGCGAATCGTCCCCACTCCGACTACTGGAAACGCTACTCACTAGCATTGCCGACGGCGTCATGGGCAGACGTCCGCTACATTTTCCTACATAACTTTACATAGACTCTCATTTTCTTTAATTCAATTAACTTCATTTCTGTCAGTTTTAAGTTTTTTTCAATATACCAGTCATTTTTAACTTCACCAGTGCTAGTCATTTCCCTTGTTGTTGCCCCCGCACCTTTGGTCTACACCGCTGCTGTCTACACCGCTTCCACCCCCTGGACTACCCACTACCTTGGACGAGACGGACGTCATCCACCTTCAAGACATCCGACAAGGTAACGGTAGCACCAGCATTAATTTTGTTGTTCAAACCGCCGTACGGCTTTCCGTTAAAGACCGTACACAATTTGGCCCTTCTACCCGCGGATATGATTTCGTACTATGCACCTTAATTTAATAACCGCAAATACAGTCCACGTAAACATCTCAACTTATTCTCAGATAATTTCTCTCCTCATGAAACAAACCTTGCAATAATTTTATATGTAGTTATAAATTGTTGTTTAGTTTGAGTTCAATAACCTTGTACAGTGAACAGACAGACAGGAATAGTTTTGTAAAGTTTTGGCTTGTAGCTATGCGCTGATAAATTGACCGTTATCCTAGTTTCTATGTCTCAAGGTCAACTAACGCACCACAATATTCTGCATTGTATTGTATCCATTCCAAAAATAGCTCTGACGTAACCGCACCGAATATTCGCTTTATCAGTCAGCTGATCTAACTGGAAATATTCTACCTCTATATTTTATTTTACTGAATTTATTTCCTTGTACTCACTTTCACAATGATATGATTGATATGTCCACTTAATACTTGTCTATTAATACTGCATTTATAATAGTTGTAATTTGTATTTTATTTTATTTTTGTTAAAGAGATATTAATATAGTATACATTTCACAATGGCTGCTAAGAGTCTTGAAAAGTGTGTTAAGAAAAGAGAAAGGTATTTTTATAAGTTACAATTATGTTACGATCTTGTAAAAGAATTGCCACAACAGAAAGATAGTTTTATTGCTAGGTATTCTAATTTGTCTAATGTGTACTCATCATTTGAATCTCTTTCCGAAGAAATGGATAACCTCAATCTTGAAATAAGTGATGTTAGCGTTAGGGTAGATACTAGCGCGCCTTTTAAACAGTTTGATGACATGTACTATAAATGTATGGCTGCCTACAACAAGATTGTTGCCTCTGATCCACCTTCAAATGTCAATGTTGAACCATCACCCGCAGTTCAGCCTAAACCTAAACTACCCCAGATAGATATCAGTAAGTTTGGTGGACAGTTGGAACAATTTAACTCGTTTAAAGCTTTGTATGATAACTTGATTCACAATACTTCTTTGGCCCCAATGGAGAAGTTTAGTTATTTAAAGAGCTTACTGGAAGCCCCCGCTTTGTCTATTGTTGAAGGCATACCATTCGATCCAGACAACTATAAGTTAGCTTATGACTCTTTGGTTGAACGCTACACCAATCCCCGTATCTTGGCTTGTTTTTATCTCAATAAAATACTAGATCAGCAACCTGTAAAGACCCCTAGTCTAAGTAGTTTAAGACAAGTTCTTGATGTGTTTCATATTAATGTCCAAGCGTTGAAAAGCCTAAAAGTAGGTGATTTGTCAGATTTCATGTTGCTACAGTTAGCGCTACGTAATTTAGACAATAGTACAAGGAAAGCATTTGAGTTAGAGTTTAAATCTAAGCAATTTCCCACCTTAGAAGACCTTATGGAATTTCTTCGTGCTCAGTGCTGTGTCTATGAACTCACTAAAGAATCTCACAAATCTACTTTAGTTTTGCCCAAGTCACAAATCCCTCATACTCGCAAAACATTGTTCTCATCTCACTCAACTCAACGCAGTACAACTCAGCCTGACCGCACAGCAACCCAGTCATCTTATCGCCTCGCTATCAGTTGTCCTATGTGTAAAGGTGAACACCAACTGTACCGATGTGATCAATTCCTCGCTTTGGCCCCGCACAAACGTTATTCTACAGTACGTTCATTCAATCGTTGTTTCGCATGTCTCGGTTCCCACCTAATTTCCATGTGCACTTCTAAGTCGAGCTGTCGGGTTTGCAGAAGTAACAGACATCACTCTCTACTCCATGAACCAAGCCGAGTCACCGCACCGCTGCCTAAACCAAATGTGAATCCTGACCTACCTCAAACCTCCGCTGCGCATTCACCGCCCTCAACCACCGTCAACCCCGTGCCTACTACTTCTGTTAACACTACACCTGCTCAAACTTTATCCTGTCAGTTTCAGCATAATTCAATGAGTAATTCTACCCTGCTAGGTACCGCTCAAGTGTTGGTTCAAGATGATCTAGGCCACTGGCAAGTTTGCCGGGCTGTTATTGATGGAGGTAGTCAGATTAATCTTGTTACTCAATCTCTAGCCCAGACATTACGTTTACCAATCAGAAAATGTAATGTTAACATTTCTGGAATTGGCCAACAATCTGATTTAACCGCAAAAGGACTTGTCACTTGTAACGTTGCTTCCCGCTATAACAGAGACGATAACATTCAGATGGACGCAGTAATAATTCCTCAAATCTCTTCTGTACTTCCGGCTGCACCTATTCCCGAATCATTGATAAATCGTTTCAATTCTATACAACTGGCTGACCCTGATTTTCACCGCCCTGCCAAGGTTGATATTTTGTTCGGAGCACAGGCTTTCACAGACATTCTTTCGGATGGTTTCGCGCTTATTAAAGGCAAACCAAGCGCCCTCAGCACAATCTTTGGATGGATCCTTATGGGTGATGTTCCCACACAGCCCATGCAACAACACGAACTAAATTCTTTGTTTGTTTCATCTCAAAGCACTGATAGGCTCTTAGAAAAGTTCTGGGAAATGGAAGAAATAAATTTACCAAAACCCTTAAGTCCCTCTGATCAGGCATGTGAAGACCACTATCAGTCCACCATCCAGAGAGATAATACCGGACGTTACGTAGCCTCCTTACCCTTTAAAGACGTTAAACCTGACTTAGGCTCCACTAGAAAAATAGCTCTCCGCAAGTATCTCCAACAAGAGACAAGATTTCACAAGAAACCAGAGATATTCGTGTTCAATATATGACTCACATGCAGAACTATGTTGACCTAGGTCATATGTGTTTGGCCCCTGCGCCCTCTCCATACATTCTTACTCATCACGGTGTCGTTAAAGAATCTTCTACATCCTCCCCACTTCGTGTTGTGTTCAACGCTTCTGAATTAAGTGACACAAATCAGTCTCTTAATAAATCACTGTTAACTGGACCTAAGCTTCAAGCTGATATCGGAACTATTATCACAAACTTCAGATTGCACCAGATTGCTATGACTTGTGACTTCAAACAAATGTATCGAGCTATTCGTATAACACCGGCTGATTGTAAATATCAACATTTGTTTTGGCGCTCTGACCTCACGGGCCCTGTACAGGAATGGGAATTACAAAGACTAACCTTTGGTCTCTCGTGCAGTCCTTATATTGCACAACGAACTTTGAAGCAACTAGTGCTTGATGAAGGCGCTAAGTACCCAAATGCGGCTGATATTCTAAGCTCCTCTTGTTATATTGACGATCTTGTTTTTGGCGCTCCAACCGAGACTTCAGCTCTTAAGCTTTATGATGAAATCACACAACTATGCTCATCAGGTGGTTTCGAACTTCATAAATGGTCAAGTTCAAGTAGCTCCGTCCTCACCACAATCCCCGCCGACCGTCGAGAAACACCCCATCCGTTAGGATCTTCACACTCGATTAAAGTACTAGGACTTGAATGGGACCCAACTACTGACTGTTTCCGCTACTCTATTTCACCTGTCAACAGTACACCAACCAAACGCAATGTATTGTCTCAAGTTGCTCGAGTTTACGATGTAAACGGCTTTATTAGACCAATTATTTTCACCTTAAAACATCTACTTCAACAGATTTGGATTGAAAAACTCAACTGGGACGACCCTCTCCCTCAATCTCTCCAAAATGTTTGGGATAAATTCATCAAAGAACTACCCCTTATGACACAGTTCCAAATACCTCGCTACATTCTCAGTAACTACTTAACCGCTAAGCTGATTGGTTTCTCTGATGCTTCCAAAATAGGCATGTGCGCCTCCTTGTATCTGCGTATTGAATGTGAAGATAAGAGTGTAGAGTGCAACCTCCTGCAATCCAAAACTAAAGTCACTCCTCTGAAAACACTTACGATCCCTCGTTTAGAATTGTGTGCCGCTCTTCTCCTCTCTCAGTTAGTAAAAGCGAACCAACCGCTCATTAACAAACTGCAAATATCAGACATCTTTCTATTCACAGACTCCATGAATGTGCTTGGTTGGTTAAATACACCACCACACCTCCTAGAAACCTTTGTCTCAACCCGTGTCTGTAAAATAACAGAAATCACCTCTGTTGATGTTTGGCGTCATATATCAGGAGATGAAAACCCTTCTGACTGTGGCACTAGAGGTTTAATGCCGAATAGTCTGTTGAGTCACCATCTTTGGTGGCATGGACCCTCTTTTATCCACAATGATATCTCATCTTGGACTCTACCGCCTTCAAACTTTCCTTCGGATGTTATTGAGCCTCAACAAACTCCCACGAAGAACACCTTAACAACTAACACTGTTCCGCAAAACGATCTTTATCAATGGATGAATAGGTTTTCAACACTAATTAAACTTCAAAACACCATGAGCTATGTACTGAGATTTATCCATAACTCACGATCTATTCAATGTGATAAACGCTCTGGCTCGTTATCAGTTTCGGAACGAGATGCCGCTCTGGAATGTTGTATAAAATTAGTACAAGCTCGGCACTATTCTGAAGAAATAAAAGCTCTAAAACTATCCAAGCCTTGTTCTTCATCACTAAGAAAACTTTCTCCATTTCTATCCTCGGACACCCTGGTAGGATAAAATCGCATGAGGTACGAAAATATGAAATACTCACAGAAAAAATAAATAGTACTAAAAACTGACTGAGTTGAATAAACTAAACGAATTTTTCACAAAAGAGGGTAATTTTAATATAAAAATTAAACTAATTAAAAATAATGATACCCTATACATGCATTGGGGTACAGTGTATAGAAATCACTACTAAAAAACTGATAAATTTGACCATTTTTTCGAAATCAAGGATAAAATCGCATGAGGTACGAAAATATGAAATACTCACAGAAAAAATAAATAGTACTAAAAACTGACTGAGTTGAATAAACCCCCCTGGGTTCTATCCTCATGGTGGGGGGTAGATTGAAATTAGCTCCTTTGCCGGAATCATCAAAACACCCTGTATTGATACCCTCTCAGTGTCATTTGGCAAACCTTTTATGTGATTACTATCACTTGTATTCTCTACATGGTGGTCCAAAACTAGTACAAGCTTTAATTCAAAGACGCTTCTGGATTATTGGTGCAAGAAATCTTATAAGAAAACGATTATTTCGATGTATCACTTGCTACAAAATGAAAGCTAAACCCAAGCAACCTCTTATGGCGGATCTTCCACCCTCACGATTTCAACAGACCCGATGCTTTATTAATGTCGGACTAGATTTTGCTGGCCCTTTTCTCGTTAAAGAAAGCACAAGACGAAATGCAAAACTATCAAAGTGCTACATTGCCGTATTTGTGTGTATGGCAGTTAAAGCCGTCCATCTAGAGTTAGTGCATTCACTTTCCACTGAATCCTGTTTAGCCGCTATAGACAGATTTATCGCTCGGAGAGGAATCTGCCGAAACATTTACTCTGATCAAGGTCGCAACTTCGTCGGTGCTGCACGCCAACTACAAGAAATCTACTCTCTCCTGAAGAACTCCACCTCACAGATCTCAGAACATTTGGCTCAACGTGAAATAACTTGGAACTTTAACCCGCCATATGCCCCAAACTTCGGAGGCCTCTGGGAGGCTGCAGTGAAGTCGACCAAACACTATCTTAAAAGGATACTGCAAAACCATAATTTCACGGCTGAAGAATTCACCACATTCCTGTGCCGTGTTGAAGCTGTACTGAACTCCAGGCCGCTTTGCGCACTCTCATCGTCACCTGATGACGACTTTAATTACTTGTCTCCTGGCCACTTCCTCACAGGAGACCTCCTGCTAGCACGACCGGAAGAAGACATCTCGGAAGAACCCTTAAACCTACTCTCACGCTGGCAGCTAGTTTCTCGTGCCTCTCAGCACTTCTGGAAAAGCTGGAGAAGAGATTATCTCCATACTCTTATCCAACGCCCCAAATGGACTGAGAAAACCCTCAACCTTAAGGAAGGAGACTTTAGTTTTAATGTACTCTAATAACACTGACCCTTTGACTTGGCCCCTAGGTAGGATAATTAAGGTTATGCCAGGATCTGACCAAGTTGTAAGAGTTGTTAAAGTCAAAACCCCTGTAGGTATTGTAACACGCCCTGTAAATAAGTTAATTCCTCTCCCTATGGTTTAGATAGTGTTACCTTTGTCTTTTTGTACATATTATCAACATTTTGTATTATCTTTATAGTTAGGTAACAGGTTTGTTTCATGATGACGGTTATTATCCAATAGGATAACAACAATTGAAGATTTTTGGGAAAGATTTAATTCTGTACAACAATTAATAGAAGAGAAAACTGAAGAAGCTGAAATTGAGAAAGAAATAGATTACAGAGTAGAAATGGGAACGCACCAAGGCGCCACCACGTCAACCCGCCACCACGTCAACCCGCCACCACGTCAACCCGCCATCAAAAAGAAGAAGAAGTTTGAGGTGGCGGGTTGACGTGGTGGCTCGTTGTCGGGGTGGCACGTTGACTCTAGCGTGCACGACAACCCGCCACCTCGGAAAAATGTGTGGTGGTGGGTTGTCGTGGTGGCACGTTGTCCTGGTGGTGCTTAGACGTGTTCATACACGTCAACCAGCCACCTCTTTAGTGTGGTGGCGGGTTGACGTGGTGGCTGGTTGACGTCTACGTGTGAGGTGGCGGGTTGACGATACCGAACATTGAGCGTACACGACAACCCGCCACCTCATAAAATAGTGATGGTGGGTTGACGTGGTGGCACGTTGTCGCTTACATGCGAGGTGGCGGGTTGACGAGAGTTAACATGGGGTGTACACGACAACCCGCCATCTTTGTTGGCAAAAACCGCTGTTTTCTGTGTATATTATAAAATGCATCACTTTTTGCAGTTTACCTGGACATGTTTTATCGAGTTTACTGTTAAGTTAACTACATTAGTTATTGTTAATTCATTAATTTTCGAATCGTTTTCCTATAAAGATCTGCCATAGAAATAAAGTACACGCATCCACGCAAGACAACTTTTCCTTTTAATCAAGGGTTATTGTTTAAAAAAAAATTGTAAGATAAACTCACTAAAATTAATTAACGATAAAGGGTCATTCTAGAATAAAAATAAAAATATTAATTATGTTTTTGCATATTTTCATTGAAGACAAAAACATGAAACTTAAATAATTTTGAAAAATAAGTTATTAGTTTCTTAGGATTTTTTGTAGGTGTATACCTGGTATAATACCCATACTTATTTTCTTTTTCAGCATTATGACAATGAATTACAAAATAAGTTACCTAAAAACTTCATTTATTAATTGTAATTCACGTGTGTACGGCCTAAACAAAAATGACGAAAATGTGTTCGGTTATAATTTCTCTTAAAACCGTATTGTGGTGAAAATAATAATACATTCAACCAAAAACATTAAAAAAATATACATCGTTGATATAGAGTACAACAGACTAAAATGTGCTTTGTGTGGACTAGCGCGCACCTGTTTTTCTATTTAGAAGAATTTGAGAAAGGATACAGAACTAGACTCGACCCAACCGGGTAATGTACTTTGACCTCTGAGTCAAGGGTATTGCCCAGAGAAGTTCATACCAGACAGATATATTCCAAAAAAACTCATTAGGAGATATCTTAAACAAATATTTATATTGAAATTTTTATGTTCTGCTTGAAATTCCATTTCATGCTTCAGGAAATACCGTACCGTACTTTGGTATTATTCGGAGGCTACTTGTTTTAGAGGGATTTTTACCTAAGACCAAAAATAACTGCATAATTAGAAAGAACATACTTTAATTAACTTACTGTCCAAATTTGACATGATTGCAATTAGCGGTTTTTGAGTTCTAGCTGCCTCCCAGAAGGCAGCGGTGTCGGCGAAGATTGAGTTGAATACGTCACCGCCCCTAGCTGCCACATGAACTCCACCGAGTGTGTATGGGAGTCATACCTAGGTCCACCGCGGTCAATCTCCTCCGCGCTAGTTTCCGCAAGGTCTGCGGCCGGCGGAGCATGAGACCAACAATCCCTCCCACTTGCCTCTGAGTCGCACAGTTTGGTTTGACCGACCTAACCAAACGGTGCGGCGGACAACTGGAGACTACTTCACTCGTAACTACGCCTGCAAAATGTAGGATACTTTACCAAAACACTGCTGTATTGCGGGCTGACTAATGAGGCCGTTTTCTGTAAAGTAGTAATTGTACAAATTACCGTACACTTGCTTGGCTACGAAAAATAATTATTCAATTATCATATCTATTCCACGATTATTAATGGTTTTGAAATCCATACACCACTTTACTCACTAATGGTACAGATTAAGCACATAACATTAGAATGATAATTTACTTTAAACACAAATGCAAATTGTTAACGACAACATTTAATTAAAGACAAATCAATCAAATAACAATAAGCCGTTTAATTATTAACACAAAAGGTTTCGTATGATTAGATTATGCATACTGATTAACCACCTATGGCTATCTATAATAATATTTGGGGTTTCTTTTCCGAGTCGGGTTAGCTCTTCTACTCGACCGATTTTCATAATTTTGGCCTCAAACTAAAGGTATGGACGCACTACAGATTTGCAATCAAGAATCGGCATTCATTAAGTTCGTTTGGCTCTTCTGCCCATCCCATTTTCTTAATTTTGGTCTTAAAATAAAGTTATGCAAGCAAATATTTGTGATCAAACATAATCATTAATTTTTCTAATGTATTACCCAACGAATTTTTTTTTTTACTTCAATTAAAGATGTACTTTAGCAGCTCTAACTAAATTACCCTATATGTTTTGGTCTAAAAACCTTTAGTGAAATACCAGCTTTCATTTGAGCTATTAATTATTAAGATTCCGATCTTAATAATCGTACCTAAAGCACTGTTTTAATCAGTTAACTTCAAGATACTGTATCGCTCAATCAGAAAACATAAATTTGATTATATCTTGGATGTGGAATTTAGTTTGTGATATTTTTACTCAATTCAAATTACGTCATTCTATTTGTTTTGACCTAAGAACCTTCAGTGAAATACCAGCTTCCATTTGATTTATTGATTATTAAGATCGGACGTACCTAAAGGACACAGCTAAATCACGAACAACACAAATTGTTCAAAAAATAGAGTTATTTATCATCGATTTATAGTCAAACGATCTTGCTTGCAACCTCAACAGTAACTGTCGACTTTGACGGGTTTCATCTAGTCAATCTTAAAAAAATCAAACTTTCATAATTATTTGTAAATCTACACAAATTAGGCTTACCAATGACCTATTAATTAATAAAATCGGTTCAGTAGAACTGTAGATTTAATTGTACAAAGTTTAACAACAACATATTTCATTCAGTATTTTCTCACCACTATAAATTGGGAGGTAGCTTAACGTTTTTGAAAATAGAGTAACTTTTAAATGGTGAGGAAATCGACCAAAGTGGACGGTGATATTCTTGATAGAGAATAAAATTTCCTACAAATTACTATCATGTATTTCCTGAAAATACTCAATAAAGACAGTCTAAAGTTGGCTACAAATATAAACTTGGAAAAAAGGCGTTTTAAATGTATTATTGTTTATTTTCATTTTTTCTCCTCAAAAAGTAATAAAATCACACTTTCATAACTATTTGCAAATCTACAAGAATTAGGCTTTCCAACGATTAAGTAACAAAATCGGTCCGGCAGGAATTTTAAATTTTATGATTTTTAAATAGATTTGTTTTTCTAACAAAATATATGGATGAAGTATAATTTAAAACATGCTATGTAAATTAATGGTATGTATCGGGAATAAATAGTTTTATTTTAAAACGAGCTGTTGGCCCGTCCTACGTACGGGAATCGAGCAGTCCATTAAAATTGTATATAGTTATATCAATATGTCTATTCCTAATTCAAGCTTAGTTGAAGCAGTTCAAAGTTTATTGTCAAGAAAAAGCTACCAAGATTAATTAAAACTTCTGGTCGTTGTTACATTCCCAACCTGTCCTCAAAAATTCGGGTGGTAAAACAATTTTCATAAGCTTTCTTTTGAAGTCTCGTGAGCTTCGATTCGTATAAAGCAATGGTTATAGAATCTTACTTAATTTCTATAATCAATGACAAAATCACAGAGTAAATAAACTAACCTCATAGTTCTTAGAATATTTGTATATTCAACCAGCTGTTAGTTATAACAAATTATATTGCACTAAAACAAACTAAAGATTTTATAGACTGTTGAAAAAATAAATTAGAACATCTATTATTTTAATTTTACTTTGTATATTTAAATTATCTCTAGTCCTCTAACCGAAAACCGAATAAATAAACGTATCAATTATTAAAGCATTACACATAGTATAGAAAGTCAACCCTACGTATCATGGTGGAAGGAAAAATTTAATTTTCATCCAAATGTTGAATTTGTGTCGAAAACGCTGATTGTTTACAGCTGTTACGTTAAGCAAATTGTATATACCAAAACCTAGAGTAGAATGTTAGCGTCGGCTGCTGGACTTTTTAAAATTTTTAACTTAATTAAAAAAACTAATACCCTAAACTAAAATTGTGGCTTCGACATTCCCTAGTTCCCAAAATTGGCTTCTTTCAAATCTTTCTTTCAACGCAAAAATGATGAAAATCCGCCAAGTGGTTGATTCAGAATCGTGAAATAAAAAAATACCTGTTACGTTTTAATATATAAGATAACGTACCCATTTTTGTAATATTCCTGGAACTAGTTTGGATTTTTATTACTCGATACTTAAATTATATAAATAGCCAAAGGCAAGACAACGTCTGCCGGCTTCAGCTAGTTTTTTGATAATCCTATCTCCTCTCTGGCATTATTTAATTCGAAAATGATTACATTGCACTATAAAGTGATTTCATACGTTGTAGGCCCACTTATTATGTCTTACAGTATACCCCTTCAATCACGGTTAAAAGATTAACACCTATAAAGAATTATTAAATTGTGAGTGAAAATAGAATGATAAGTATTTGTTATTTAA